TTTTTTTCTAAAAATTCGAAAATAATAATCCGGAAAATCCATAGAGAAAAAGTGAAAAGCTCTCGACGCGGTAATGATTTTTAAGCGATCCCGAAAAACAGAAGAAAAAAGGAAATGAGATTTTTTCGCTGATGTCAGAAACACATTTAGTATAAACAGTTTTCCGTTTGCTTGTTGGTTTTTGCTCAAAAATAAGAACGTCATTAGTACATAACCAAATAAAAAAAAATGGCACATATAAAGTAAAAGCTTTTTTCGTTTTTCCTTATTTGCTAAAATTATTCTCTCCCAACTTCAGATCTATTTTCAATAATGTTAGTAATTTTTTTATATTGTAACTCTGTATATCTAAAAAATAATGATTTTTTACTCACCCTTTTCCTTGTTTCGTAATCCAGAGCGCCGGCTACATAGATGGCACCTGTCATGTTTTTGACGGCAAAGGCGCCACCTATGTTACCGCTTGTGATCTCGTATCGAATACGCGAGGCTGTAACAAAAAAAAAACGTATTATTAACTGAATAAACAAATTAAACAAAGAAAATAAAGTCCTCCTACTCTAGGTGCTAGCCCATCAAGGGATAGAAGGTAAAGGTCGTCCTTTTGCGGACGACACGCTAGCTTCATTAAGAGCAACAAGGAAGTCACGGCACTTCACAGGATTATATCAAATAACTTAATCACCATTAAATCTTGTCTCAACACTTCTAAAACTAAAGCTTTGTCGTATAAAACCTTGCTGCGGCTTTTTGTACTTAACAACACCACCATTGACGTCGTAAAATCTATAAAATTCTTAGGGCTTGTTGTAGACAATTCTCTAAAATGGGACATGCATATTGACGCTTTGTCGAAAAAATTAAGCTCTGCCTGTTTTGCATTAAGATCTGTTTCTAAGGAGCTTAACTTGTGAGTGGCTAGAACTGTTTATTATGCACTTTTTGAGTCGCACCTCAGGTATGCCCTTCCATTTTGGGGTACGTGTTGCACGACTCAATTTGGCCGCATTTTCAAGCTCCAGAAGAGCGATATTCACTGGGACGAAACAGCAGAATTCATTGCCAGGACTTTTTAAAAAAATTAAAAATATTAATTCTTCCTTCCCTATTTATATTTGATTCCGTTTGCCTAATACCTAAGCATGGATCAGCTTCTCATGAAAGGCCATCTCACCCTTATCCACTCAAGAACGCGGAGCAAGATCTTTATCTACCTACCCCACGCTCAGAGTTAGTTAAAAGTTCAATATTATACAACTCGAAAAAAATGCACAATCACCTGCCATTTGAAATAAAATCTATAACATCATTTTCTTCATTTCTCAAAGCTTGAAATCTTATTTACTAGACAAGGCTTTCTACGCCGTAAATGACTTATATTTTGACAATCTATTGATCTCTAATTTGAACATGTAAACACTGGTCTAATATTTGCTATTACTATATTTACTATAAACTTACTAAATATTTTTAAATCCTATTTTTATTTTTTTATTCTTTTGAATGATTGTAAACATTTATAAATGTTTATTTTAAACAATAAGACTGACAATGTAATTTGTATACTTTTGTTTGTTTCACTTTTGTTTGTTGAACTGTATCATTAACATTTATAATAAATAAGTTTTCATGTTTTATAACTATTATCAATAGAACAGTTTATTTGTATTTAGTAGGTATTTAGTGCAAAATAAATGTTTTACAAAATATTTTTTTCTCTTTGGTAATCATCTACACAAGGAGTGCGGTAATGAAAATGCGTGAGATAAGAAGCTCTTAACTCACTCAAAATGCGTGAGTTAAGAGCTTCTTAACTCACTGACGTAGATAAATAAACAAACAATAATTAATGATTAATTTCCAGGTTAAAAAACATTATTAACATTAAAGAAATCTCCCTTCCTATTAAATTAATATTTAATTAAAATGTTGCTTGTAATCTCTGTCCCTATCAATATTTTGAGAATAATTATTCTTACATTACAGGACTGTTAACAATTTAGTGAATTATGGTTGATTGGGTTTAATGCAATTGACCGGTAATTTCCCTAGTTAAGAATTTTAACAAAAAAACAAGAACTCCATCTACCAGATACCATGTAAATACGGTGAGTCGTATATTGGATAGAGAAAAGTCCTCTAAATGTATGACTTAACGAACATAAAAAATAAACAAAGAGAGGGTGAAATAATAAACTCTTAAAGAAACAAAGATAATAGCAGACCATGTGCCAAGCAGTTTAATATAAAGTGGTCGGAAGCCTGTGTTGTCCATAAATGACTTCTTTAGAAAAGTGTAAATTTAAAGAAGCCATTATTAGAGCAGACAATAACAACTTGTTTAGCAATACAAATATGGAAATTTCCACAATATGGCAATCTCAGTGGAAAACCTCAAGCTTGATTGGTGTTTTGTACTAGTATACCGGGTGCATCTCAAAAGTGGCTCACTTCTATATCTTTTTTATTTTTTCAGTTAAAAAATCGAGATGTGGTATGTTAGTATAAGACATACATTAGGATTGATTGACATATTCAATTGTTTTCAGTCACTTCCTGTTTCACCGGAAATGACTGCAACTTTTGACATTTTCGAATATTGTTTATTTAAAATTGCAACATGCGGTTCATAACGACAATTTGCCTCAAATACCAAGGGTGTGATACCAAATTATTCATAAAAAATGCTTTTTTCCTCGTTCCATTTGAAAAAATTGATATATTATGATTAAAAATACGATTTTGGCATCTTTTACACTAAAAACATTAGACGATCAAAACTATTTTACCAAGGCTCCTTGATTAAAAATTAGTGTTTTCAACATAGCAATGGTACTCTAGGCTGAAATTTAAAATACAATTTTGTTTTAAGTGAAAATGTCAAAAGTCAAGAATAAAGTAAAAAAAAAATACCGAGGGTGCCATTTAAAAATCAAAAGTTGTAGTCATTTCCGGTGAAACAGGAACTGGAGTAATTATTTAATGACATAAGCTATTGGATCTGAACATCATATTAGCATATTCAGGACAGTAAGGCAATTCATCTAAAAAATCTATTTTGTATCCAAACCTCAACAAAAGGTTTTCTGACAAGGAAAATACCACCTCTTATTATATAAATTTAACAAACAATTACACTAACATAACTAATTTGATATCTAAATATCTAAAGGCTATTAGTTCAGTGGCTAATTTATTACACCACAACGTTTCGATCTAATTTAACGGGCCTTGTTTTCCCGCCATCAAAAGATATCAATCCAGAGCTCGCAGACAATTTCAATTATTTCGCTTTTAAAATCAATTTGCAATTCAATTACCGAAAACAAGCCGACGGGATGCACTAGATTTTGAGAATTTGACAGTGACATGGACTATATTTCCTCTGCGTATTAAAACTGGAATCGACTGTGTCGATGTCGGTCAGCATGCCCGTCAACATTCCTTGTTTTGAATTAAATGTAGGTTGGTTCAGTTAATAGTTGGGTCGTATGATTATTGAATTTAGCTTAATATAATAGAACTCAAAATGCATGGTTCTTTATCTTGAATATTGTACCGATATAGTACTGCCGACTAACAAAGAATCAAAAAATATTTTATTATTGAAGAATCTCGTGATGTTTTAGGCCCCCAGTGTCGTAGGACAGTATGGTAATTGCGTACGCTATCGTAAAAGCATTTCTTCATAGATTGATTTTAATATCAATAAATAATTTATGTTATTTCATTTAAATATCTGGGTATTTGGCACCACAAAACAACTTATCAATTATAAATCATACAAGTGCTCGAGTCATTATAAGAGAACCTTACTCTGACTGCACTCAACTGTCACAGGTGAATGCTTAACAATATACAGGGTGGCGATTGCACCTCTCATATGATGCGGAGGATATAAGGAGAACGTTAGTTTATATCGAAATGAAATTTTGGGAGCATATGTAGATTAATAGAAAGCATTTTATAAAAATATATAGTTTTATAGATAGAGTCCCTTAAAAAAGTTACGCATCAAAGTTTATTTTGTAATGGAACACCCTATTTATTAATTGATTTTCTGATTCTAGAAAAAAATAAGGGCGAGTTTCATTAAAGAACCTACATTGTAATTTACCCTGTTGTAATAGTCTGATAGTTAAAATAACCAATGTATATTAAAGCAAATAAAATTTGACCCGCAAAGTTTAAAGGGTGAGACAAAAATGATACTGAACATTGGTTTGAATGGAACACCCAGTATATTATTGCCGATATTCAATGCAGAATTCACATATCTTCAAAACACTATTAATGTTGCCTTCCCCTTAGACAAAGATTTTCCTAGATTTTCATTTTTATGATTATGGGTCAGTATATCTTTATTATTTGATAAAATCTAGGCGGCTGTGACATACCTTTCCTTAATTTTATAAAAAATTAAAGGAAGTAGAGTAAAATATCTAACGCTAATAAAGACAATAAACGTTTAAAACATATTTAATTATTACAGAATTAAAACTAGATAAAAATGTATAATTATGTCATAAAAATAAATGCTGAAACTGCTTCCTTTCATGTTCACTGCATAAAATGAATCTTCTTCAATATTAATTTTGTCTCACCGTGTATAACTTTTTGGGTCAAATATTAATTTGATTTAAAGTACAATAGTTATTTTACATATTAGTCTATACCGGGGAAGAATCAAGTTAGGTAGTTTTTAATAGAATTTAAAATTTGTTCTTCATTTTTAGAAAATGTGAAATATGTCAATAAGCTTACATTTTAGTCATATTATACTATCTAATGAAACTCCTCTTTATTTCTCTCCTAGAATCCGAAAATTATTTAATATATCTAGGGTATTCCATTATAAAAAAATACAAGGTTGATATGTAACTTTTTTTGGGGACACCCTGTGAAACTCAATATTTTTCAAAAATGCTCTAAATTAACCTACATATGCTCACCAGTGAAGAGAGAAAACATCCCTAATGGTGCGGTCATCACGGTCTTTCTGCCGAGGAGCAAGGGGAAAGACACCACCTACCTGCTGAGCCTTATCCAGGGTCAGAACTTCAATGTAAGGACATCGAGTTGGCGAGTCATCGACTCGAGGGAGGAGGGTCATGATCAGGTCCTCACAATAGGAATTGACCTCAAATCCAAGGAGGCAATAGAGAAAGAGTATATATCCTCTATTATAGATACGGAGCAACACCGGTATCAGGTCTAAGGAGAGACCAAGTTAAAGAGGTTGAGAAAATGGAGACAGATCCTCCAGCCTCCACCTCACGGGTTCCTCGGCACGGAGGGCCAAACTCCAACCGTCGAAGGGTGTGTACCCTCGGAGGAAGAACTGTTATCAGAGGAGGATGGGAAATACCCTGTCCCCTCTACAACAGGGGTATAATGGGTTATAGACTGTGTGATAACTCAAGGAAGGAGGGCACAATAGATCTTTAAGGTCGCAGTGATTAACCCTCCCTCTTACTCATTCTACATTCA